GGAGTGGCTGACTCAAAGACTTCACAGTCAACTCGCCCTCCTACGCAATTCTGAAACTAATATAACCAGTTATATTGTGTATGTAGGGGCCTATATTGTAATGCGTGAATAAACATTTTTGAATTTAATTTAATTGAAATTGCACTATTTCCTGCTTCTCCCACTTTCCTGCTTGTGAATGATATGAATCCCTTATCTGTATCTGTGAGTCACTAAAGCTCATATAGGGTCTATGTCCCCCAGGGTACTGCCGGAATGTACCCTGGGTACGGTCCGGTATACCGGAACGTATACCCTGGTCACTATTTGATATGGTTAGGGTTAGGATTAGGGTTAGGGTTAGGGAGTAGGCGTAGGCGACTCCCTAGACTCGTTAGTGAATTAAGTAGGCGAGGTACGGTCCGGCATATATAGATAGTACCAGGGTACGGTCCGGCAGTACCCCGGGGGACATAGACCCTCTCAGCGTCACTAAAGTGAGCATAGATAATCTGTAAATGATTTTTTGTCGTTTCAAAGTGTGAAACAACAAATTTGACAAAAGTATATGTACAACTACAAGTTAATTACAACAAATGTGAAATTGTCGAACTGATGGGTATAACATTTTAAGGCGTTGTAAAAGTTATCGCGCTCACAATACTCATCATATGGCTATAATAAAACCGCCACATGAAACTTGTAAGTTTAATCCAATCGATTTCCAGAAGAAAATCAATATTTTTTAGCAATTATAAACAAGTGCTGCCCTCTTTAAACGCGTACGCCTCTAACACATTCGTGGTATTTTTCAGTTCATTCACTGTGCGGAGAGCTATCATTCTTCAACATTCCCACTTTGAGTAGGACCTATAGCAAAAGTAAGTCGTGTGTGTATTTTACGAGGCTCATCGTAATTCATGTTAACTAAGATATAGTGATAGTGACTGCATGTAATTTCACTCTAGACGATGTATAGCAGATACAAAACTATATAGATTGCCAAAGTGGAATGTACAGTACCCACTACTACTACCCTCCCTACCCACCCTAGTACTACTAGTACTCACTACAGTAGTAGTAGTCTGTTTCACTTAGTGAGATAGCTCCAAGAAACGGTCTTGCTAGGGTTAGAAGTATTGAATGAATATAATAATTTTATATTGTCTTGACAATCGGTCGCACAGCCTGGTCGGTCTAGTAGTGAGTTTGAGAAGTGAGAAGGTAACTTGTGCCGCCAAGCCAATCCGGCACAATCCTAGTTTATGACGCCGGCCGCCTTTCAGTTGATCAAACCCAAAACCTCTTGCCATATATATATCATAAACATGTGTATACTCTATGAAAGTTGTAGTTATTGTTTGCATATACTGTAGTTTCAGCATGACAGACTTGATCCGGCTGTAGTGGCTCAGACTTCAGTTACTAATACTATAATATAGTTCTATATACTGTCTACGTGTCATTAGCACAGTTATTATACGCCTCAGGCTGTATAATACATAACTTGCTAAGTTGACCAACTAACCGCTGTGCTCGCCCCGCTCTCGTGCTGGTCAGAATGTCCGATGGTGACTACTTCATGACGTCACAGGGCAGCATGAGGGCAGTCGACCCGTCTGAATCGGAGGTGATTGAGCTTCACGACGTCGATAATCAGCCCGATGAACAGGAGCTGCTCGCTGCCGGCACGACGTCCGACTCACAAGATATCACTCCCAATAACGGGGTACGTTACCCGTCGCTCGCATTAAGTCTATAGAACTTTCTGCACCCTTATCTATGTTGGGGTTATGATCATAGGTTAGGGTTGATCAGGGTCAGTGCATGCTACGTTGTTTGGGTTAGGGTTAATCAGCATCAGGATTAATTAGAGTTAGGGTTAGGCTTGGTTAGGGCTATGGTTATAATGTATGATGGAAGTAAGGACATGAATCCTAAGTATTAGGCATGCACAGCTCTGTGTATATACATCATCATCAATGGCTATAGCTAATGAACAACATGGTTTGTCATGCATAATATTTCGTGTGAGGTATTTGATAGTGTGAAGTAATTTGCATTATGGATTACATTTAGGTGCTGTGCATGTTGCAATATTTGCAGTCTACATTCTGTTTTGGACTATGTTGATCCCTTGCAGTATATCGTTTTCAGTATGTGCATGGTGTAGTGTGTGACATACAGGTTGTGTTGCAGTGTGGATTATAGGGAATATTGTAATGCAGGAGTAAGTGTATCCATGCAAGCATGTGTGTGTGTGTACCTGTCTGACTGTGACATTGATTGTGGAATGAATGAATGTAATTAGCTGAATGTAATTAATGTATGTAATTGTATTGTATTGTATTATGTAATTGTAATTGTATGTAATGTATGTATTAAAAGCTGAATGTAATTTAATGAATGCTGTGCTGTCCACAGCACAAGAGTCTGTTTTTCGAGGATGGTAGGAGAAGGATAGACTTTATGCTGTGTTACAAGCCAGCAGAGGACAGCTCCATGGACATGAGGAGAATTTATGAGAGGAACCTGCGGGAGGAGGGACTGGAGCTGGAATATGATCACAAGGTATATGTTGTCGCAGCTCAACAGTCATAAATGTTTTATCATACACATATAGATACCTGTGTATCTGTGTATGTAGTTATCTATGTTTAATGTCTCATGAAAACTACCCTCGGCAAACACAGTACACAGTACATGATTCGAAAATTAAAATGGTAATTTGGTTGTCTGAGCCAACCAATTTTCAATGGACAACCAAAATCTGTCAACCTAATTTTAGTACAAAAATGTGTTCACTTCTTCTGTCTCGACAATATGGAATGAATTTTATATGCAAACACTTTACAAACTGTCTGATCTAAGCAGCCAATGTCATTCTGATAGCATCACTGTCCAAAATTTTTTTTCCCAGTTCAATTGGTCGCAACACATGAAATGCTTTTATAGTATAATTTTAAGTGCATGAAGATGTATACATGATGCTATTTGTTGGTAGAACATCAGTCATACCTCAATTATTTACCAAAAGTTAAAGCATCCAACTGCTTATCCAAGCTAAGTGAAACATAAACACAGTAGGTAGTACATGCCCATCACAGACGTATGTGTAAATATTATTGTCACATGATACTGAACTAATAGACTCTAACTTGACTATGAGTGCGATTTGTGTGGCAAACAGCTAAGTACCCCTATGTCTGATTACTGATCATTCTTTTTAATGCAGATGTTAGTGGGAAAGTAATAAATAATTTTATATTTTGTGTCTACTGGTGAATGTGTAAGGTCCAATCATCCAAATTAGTGTCCAGCAGGGCTAGTATATCCTAGAACAAAATGCGTGCTAAGTATATGGACCAGTCATCCAGCAGATGGTTGCCTCTCCCAGGGGTTAAGCAGGACAAAAAAATTGTTACCAATTTGGCTAATTTAGTCTGAAAATGTTTAGCCAAATTCTACTAACTATGTAATGTAGTCGTGTGTGTAGCAAAGGCCATTTTGATCATCTTTGGTCTTTTCCGGAAAAGTTTCAGTACTGAGTAAACAAATTAATGAACACGCGCAGTGTACCTTATGCTTCGGGTTAGCAAGTAGTGATCTCGTGTAGAATTCGAGCGGCCTATGAATTAGTTTGTAGTGGTCGCTAGTGGGTAGAATTTGAGTTCAGCCTGAAGGGCCTAATTGGCTTTAGCCTTTTGGCAAATTTATTATGACATTTTCTCGCCAAATTCAACTTTAATGCGCATCTGGTGAATCAGCGAACGACAGGCTAAACCCTGCTCTCCAATTCCCTGCCTAAAGAAACCCCAACAACTGTGTTGTAATTACCCTGACTCTGGGTGCTGACGATAAATCATAAATTTATACGCCATTAACATTTTAATGGGTTCCTGAAAATTATCACTCAACAAAACAGCATCTTTGAATATGACTCTTCTGTTTAGTGCAATTGATTCCAAAGTGTAATGGACAACGTACAAGTTTTGTATCACACGTTAAATCCACTAGGTGTGCCTGTCTGATTCATGTGTAAGTCTTCACACAGCTGTGGGAGAGAGATGATGCTTAGATATTCCTACAATTAGCAATGCTGTTTTTCTTACATGTGGCTCTGAGATGACAGGATTCGGTAAAAACCAAGTCTATTCGTGAAACGGTGATGTGCTTTAAATATTGTATATGCAGAAACACGATTTGTTGAAGGGTTTCTTGTTTGACAAATCAGTCGCCCTGTTCGGAGTAATCATTCATATGAAAAAAGCAAGATAGTACGAGAGACAGAGTGTTAAAGAATGTGATAGAGGTATGGGAAGGGGATGGAACGGAGAGAGTAGAAGAGAATACGAGAGAGAAGGCGAGGAAAGGTTTAGATAAGAAAAGACTGCCCAGCATAAAAGTTTATCACAATTCGCACATGCAGGCAGCTATATTATGGGTGTGCTCCAGCAGCGATGTGTGTGTGTGGGGGGGGGGGCATTTCCACGTTCATTGCCATCTACCGCATCGGCAGCCGCTGCTGCAGCTGCTGCTTGGGCCAACTGACGAAGCACTTAAAATAGGGTGGCCTCGCAGTGTTGTTTGATTGCTAGTGCCCGCTGACGCCTGTATGCCTCATGTGTCTCCGGAGCTCAGCGTATATCGGTTTCAGAGATGGGAATGTATTTCACCCCCTGTATTCTTTTCCAGCTTTCCAAACGCGTTTTTTCCTGTTTGTTGCTGCGTGTGCGTGCTCCCGTGCAGTAACAATGGGGATCAAATTAACGTTTTTACTCTTGTGAGAGTGCATGGGAGAGCACTTCAAAATTTACTAGTGATGAGTAATCGAATTTGTTTCATGAAAAGACATTGTACTGTCTTATATGAAAAATTGTTACGAATTGCGAAATTTTATTGCTGCCACTGTAAAACATTCACTGTAAATGTTTTTCCCTGATATAAAATGTTAAAGTCCCCCCCCCCAATGGTTATCCTGCCACATGAGGATATCTGAAATTTATATTCTGAACTGATTCAACTTAGGGTGTTGCTAATGGTGGGGGAGGATAGTAAAACGCTGGGGTTTCAACTTAGTACATCTACGATACAATCGAATCTTTTAGGTTGCAGATGAAAAAACACGACCACACTGTGCCAGGGATATCTATCGTCTCTAGAAGAAATGATGCTTTTAAATAGCCGGGAGTCTTGTACAGCAAAACTGCAATTTTTAAGGATTCATTGCATTGCCCCCCCCCCCCCACACACACACACACACCACCTCCACACACACTGCATGCCCCACACACACACACACCACCTCCACACACACTGCATGCCCCACACACACACACACCACGTCCACACACACTGCATGCCCCACACACGTGCCTTTGCGCGCCTCACACGCTGTTCGTTGGGAAGATCTGCATGTTAATTTTTCTCTGAGTTTACTGCTGTGCAATGTGTAGTTGATGTGGTATTCTTCTTCTCCATGTGTAGTTGCTGTGGCATGGACACAGTTACTCGCTGAAATTGTGCTTGCTTGCATGGGCACTGTCTGATCAAGAAGACTTGGTTGAATCAATTATAAATTTCATGCATAATTTGCTACTTTAAAAAAAATTTGCACCAACCCCTGCATAAAGTATTAACAAGTCACACCTACTCTCATCCAACAGCTGATTATTCAGAGTTTTCCTTTGCCTAGATGTAAAGCTGTTCGTAGTGTGTCAATTTGCGTTAAGTTGACATTGCGTGTGGCAATGTGTTACGTTGTGTTTACGAGAATATTCGAGTCCACAGTTCGTCGAGCACTGCCACATTTTTCAACTACACAGACTGCACTCTAGGTGACCTGAAATGTAGACCCACCCAGTGAGAGAGCATGTCACTCGGCAGTGTAGCAATGTGTATTCTTTACCGAAACTTTCCCCTACTGAGGTATCTCCTATTAAAACAATAACAAGCTCACTTGTTGAGGTTGTTCCTCCCCCCCCCCATAGAAAGCCTACCCGCTCGAGGGAGATATTCACAAGCCAGGAAAGAAGCCTAAACAATTAGCCCCATCTCGGAAACAGCCTATGCACCCACTGGCCAAGGCATCAGGTGAAGTCTTGGATAGGCCTAAGTAGAGCCACATAACTAATGTCAGTGTCAGTGACCCTCTCCCATGTGTTGTGTTGAACTGTAGATAGACTTGTTATGATGTTTCACCTGATTCATCTGCGTCTCTACATGAGCAGGGCCGGCAGCTTGTTTTATTAGCTCATCTGACGTAGTCAGATGCAGCTTGTAGAATTGCATGAGCGTGCGTCCGTGCGTGCGTGCGTCCGGCCGTGCGTGCGTTCGTCCGGTCGTGCGTCCGTCCGTCCGTCAACAGTTGGGCACAAATCTTAAACGCTCGACGTACGGTCACGATATTCGGGACGTCGGGGGGGGGGGGGATCGTGAAAAGAACTCGGGATGACAAATTTGGGGGTCAAGGGTCAAAGGTCAAGACGTGTAAACGGAGGGGGAATATTTTCCCCTTAAATTAAGGTATAGGAGGAAATACAGAATTGCGGCACAAATCTTAACGGCTCGACCTATGCTCTTAATATTTGGTGTATAGTGTGATGGGCAGGAAACCCATCACCAGTGCGAAATTGGAGGTCACAGGTCCGGGGGCAGTGGGGGAAAGGTCAGATATCAGACATTTTCTGAGGACATGGTCTAATGGACAGAGTGAAAAACTTTTTTGTTGCAGCGCTGACCTACCATTTTTATCACTTTATTGATAAGGACCATATATCACTTAAGGACCATGAAATGTGCTTTCCACTGACGTACGAAGAGTAAGTGTCTGATAACCTTTTGACCCTCAAGAGGAGGGTTAAACATGGATTCCTTAACTGCCTCAATGATGTCACAGTGTTCTCATATTCATGGCACATCCATAATCTAGAAAGCCAGTAAGCTTCGATAGCCCAACGGGTGCAGCACAAGATTACGGCTCAAAGGTCCTGGGATCGAATCCCATCAGATTTTTTATTATTTACTTGTTTTCTGTATTTTTCTATCTTTATCCATTTAACTATTTTTTCCCAATTAACGCAAATATTTACATGATATATTTATAACAATTTAATAACAACAAATAATTTTGACAACAATATATATATTTTTTTTTTAATAGGGTTAGGGTTAGGGTCACAATGCACCATAAAACAGGAGTTTCAGGCACGCGATTTGTATCAACCAATGGGATTTGGGAGGTATGCAGAATGCAGATGGTTGCTGAAATGATGTGTACGCAACTGCGTATCTGCATATCTGCGCCTAACAAAGGTGTCACTACGCACGACTTAAATGTTACGTTAATAACCGTAGCAACAGACCTCAGATGAGCCCAGACACTCTGCGGCTCTTGTTAGTCTATCTGTGATGGAATTTCGTAACGTTATACCGTAAGGTTTATCCATGGCCGTGCTAAATTTACATGTTTAATCCGACTCTTTAAGTAGTTGTTCATAGGGCATGTTTTTCATATAGACAAAGGTTATATTAGTATGTGGATTTTGCTCACAAATAACTGGTTGATATTTACCAATAGGTTCATATATAATCTGACATATTTATATGTTGTTACTTGTACTATCACTATTAATATGAAATATTCTACAAGTATGATCAAACAAATATGGGTATAAATGTGATCACATGAGTCATAATTCCATTTACCTGTCATGATAACATGCAGCTTCAGCTTTATTGTTTATTTAATAAGTAATACATTCACATTATTTTGAAGCTAAATAAGCCACTGGTACACCTAATATCCTGAAGTTTTGCTAGCATCGGTGTGTTTTTGCGAGAGAGAAGCCATTGCTTCACTCCGCACACCGGGAGAGATGCAGCGGTCAGCGTGGTAAGTTACACGAGCGTCGGTGACCACTCTTTCATCCGTTGCAGGGACTTCCAGGAGTGGACTTTGTGAAGATTCATGCGCCGTGGGAGGTGCTGAGTCGCTACGCAGAGATCATGAAGCTGCGTGGACCGATGAAGGAGGTGAGAACAAAAGCTAGAAACATGCCTCTCAATCACATATCACCAGTAGGGTGGCAACACAGGCGTGAACGATTGGTGACAATTGACAGCATGTCATGACGGTTTATTCCCGGTTGGCCTACTCCTATTTCGCCTACGGCAAAATTCCCATTTCGCCTACAGAAAAATTCCCATGCCCCAGCTCAAAATCTGCCACATTCCCATTTCGTCTACGATCGGTTTGTTCACTAAAGCCCGGCGCACATTGCCGAGCATTTTGCTCAAAAACATTATCGTAGCAATGTTCCATGAAATGTTCGGCAATGTGCGGTGAAAAAGGTCGCCGAACATTTGTCCCGAACAATGTTTCTGAAGATCGGAAATGTTTGATATCTCGAACATTGTTTGTCGAATGTTCGTCAATGTGCGCTGAATGTCGAACAATTCTAGGAACATTTGTAAAGTAGTAACCAATAGCAGCACGATATGTGGTCACATGATTTTTGTGCCCAATCATGTGCCGATCACGTGACTCTTTACAACACAGCTACTAGATGGCGCCACGAGGTTGTTCGCTGCAAAATGTTCTGCAATGTGTGCTCAGCAATTGTTCACTCGCACATTGCCAGACAAAAACATTTGTTTGGACGAACATTTGTTCGGAAAATGTTCGGCAATGTGCGCCAGGCTTAAGTAATCATTTATAAATGATAAAAGATGGTTTTGATTGGCATACATAGACTACAGAAACCAGAAGAAAATATAGGTACATATAATGAGAACACAACTTGACAAAAATAGAAAATAGTAATACAGTAACATAAAAATACAATGGGAGTAGGCTTAATGGGAATATTGCCGATTCTGAGAGTAGACGAAATGGGACGTAGGCCAACTGGGATGTTACCGTCATGACATGCTCACTCTCATTCTCCTCCATGGCACTGATTAGTCCTTAGTTCATATTCCGTTATGCACAGAATTGTGTTGACGACCCTGTTTGTGTGTGTTTGTGTGTGTGTGTGTGTGTGTGTGTGTGTTATATGACCTTCTTACTGTAGATATTAAAAAGTTATAGGGCCACCCAAAAAAGATTTCACGTTTGCTGTAACCTGTTCGAAATGATGAAAAACCAAAACTATACTTACAAAGAATTCATTTAAAATTGTATACTTTGATACATAAACTTTCTTCTGTAACTGGTTATGGTTTTAATTGTACACGCACTTAAATATAATTATATATATGTGTGCAGAGAATGGGATATATTTTTATACTTTTCTGCCTACCTACCTACCTTTAATACTAAACCAGGTTACTGCAAATGAGATTTTTTCAGGCTGTCTTAGTGTCCTGTTTTGAAACTGACAGCTAGTAAATGTCTGGTTGTGTTTCTATCACTATGTACGTGCTCAAATAAATATTACTGGTAAGGTTATTTTTGTATGCTGTGAGGGTAATTTGTCAGACTATAATACACATAGACACATGTAGTTGTGCAAGTCTACCTGGGTAAGGTGTGTAGGAGGCTGCAGTGCCACTCTGCATGTGTCAACTGTACATCAATAAATTAATGACTTTTATAGACTGAGAGGGCTGGCTTTACTACTTTATTATAAGAATTTGTTTTAGCTACTTATATTAGCTACTTTTAAATGCCATTACCCCTGAGCTCCCCCATCAAACTACATTTTGTCTGTGGTAATTATTATAGGAGCAGTAGGTGTTTTGATGCAGTTTGTCTAGCTACTCACCTTGCCACAACTTTATTTCTCGATCTGCCCATTTTAGTCTATTCATAGTAATAATTTGTGTGACCGCATTGCAGTCAGGTAGTGTCAGTGCATGTAGTGTTAGCCGTGGATAGGCATGCTTGTACTGACCGTTCTTTCTCTATTCGTCTCTTGCATGCTTACTAACCCAGTTCAAGCAGATTAACAAAGATGACGGTACTGAACTCTGGGTTGAAATCTCTGAGGTAACTGTATAGGCTTTATGTTATCTGGAAGTGCCCATTTGGTTTATCTAATGTCGTGCATGCCAGTCCTGTTCCAAACTCAACCTAATTTCAAGGTGAACTTGTACAGAAATGCAGGATACACTTGTAAACGTGTTCATTGTAAAACAGGTTACTTTTATATTTGAAATTAATATTTTATTATTAATATATATCTATATTTATCAATATTAAATATTGTAGCATTTGGCAATTGTCCCTTTCTACATAATTTTACATGATGTCAGTGCCTCTTTCTTTCTATGAGGTTGAATATTAATGTAGTATTAGATGATGACAGTGCCTGCCACAGTCTATCATATAGGTGGCATTGTACTGCAATTATTGACACATGTGTGACATATCCACATAACGATTTCAGGTTAAGCGAGAATACATAGAGGATGAGGTTGATGCATTGTTTCCAAACCAGGTGTGTATGTGTATGTGTGCTATAAGGCCATTGTGTTTGCCTCAGTGGAGTGCAGTAAATATTCGATACTAAGAGATGGGTATGAACAGCAAACTCAGTCGATACCACCAATACCGTGGAGTTGCTGACAGTAGACACTGCTGAAAAGTTGTAACAAACTGATTTCTCTAGGTGGTCTACCCACCAGGTATTACTGTAATCGACTGCATTATCTGTCATTGTGGCTTAACGTGCACACAATCGTTTTGAGGGCCATTTTGAATGCTGTGTGAGCACACCAAGTGATGGGATTTCTCTGTACCAAACTACCAACCATTGAACATAGCACACCTATCAATCAGGTATGGTTGATAATAATCTTCCGGTTTAAGTGTGTATAGTCAGTCGTATGTTGTCGGAGCTCGTGTTGTTAACAGGCTGTTTACTTGTTAGGCTCCAGAGACTGTGGCTGAGGCATCATACTGGTACAACCAGGTGACCGCCTACGTGACAGCAATGTTCAGCGCACTGTTGTCTGTGTTCCTACTGGACCCGGTCGCCGTGCCTACATGCGAAAAGAAGTTTACCTGCGTTTACTCCAGGGATAAGGAATACCTGTGCGTTGTTCTGAACTGTGTCAATGCTCTTCAGTCAAGTAGATATTAAAGGACTCAGGAAAAACTTCGCACATGTATAGTCAGCTGAGTTGTGCATTTGCGTTTTCGCGTATTTTAAGCTTATATTTTTACAGATTGCAGACACTTTTTTTTATAGTTTACAACTGTGTATGTGATTAGATGTAGGTTATATTTTTAATTTACAAGCAAAACTGAAGAACTATTTTGATGAGGGAGAGAAAATATACCCACCTTGCCAAACTCCGTTCTTCTCACCAAGATCCTATAAATGTTTCTTACTAGCTTTCTCACACCTGCAACCTGTTGGTTTCGTTCAGTAATTTTTACGTACTAACCTTGTGCTGTGTAATTTTGCAGGTTTGGTATTCCGGAAAACAAAGGTGACTTCTTTAGTCCATCACAGAGAAGTCTCATTGTCGATTTTATCCTGCGCAGGAAGAAATTCAGTGATGAACCGGACAACTTGTTTGCTATAGGTAAAACTAGTGCTTGAATTTCACCACTGCATTGACAAAAAGTGCCACTGTTGCCCTCCTCACATGCCATGGTGCCCCTACATTCTGGCTGATTTCCATGGAAATAGGCAGCAATTGCGGCCCTACTTGGTTTGCCTCCACGCTGTTCTTTTAAATTCCATTTTGTTTACATTTTGGTCCCTTTCTTGCTCAAAAAGTGGTGTCAAAATGTAAATTGCTTCTGTGCCTCTCCTTAGAATGGAATGATTGTCATGTGCCTTCCAACTAGCGCTATACTAGCTGTAAATTCCTGATTAAACTGAAGACAATGCAAAACTTGCCTTGTCTTAAAAAAATTCTAATTTGACTCCTGTGAAACCCAGCATGATGCCATATCCAGTAAACAAGCCATCATATTTATCCACATTTTTTGATGAATGTGCTGGAATCTGCTTAGTAACTGTGCATGTCACTGCATTGATTAAGTCTAAACATTCATTTGGCAGCACTTGAGATAATGTAGTCTACTCAACACTAAAGGTTTTACGAGTAAGTGTAGTGGTTGCATTAAACAGAAACGGAATGTGTACAAAGTTTCATTGTGGTTGGACCATATATATATATATATATGGATAGATAGCTAGATAATAGGTTTATTGCAAAACTAGTGTTAACAACGTTACAATTAAAATAAATTTTGCAATCATCAGGCAGTATAAAACTGAAATTGATGATATTTACAATAATATATGTCCCATGGTAAGACATAGATATCACTTAAAATGTTGGTTCGTAAAATTATATTACTAAACTAAAAACCATCTTTAGAATATATACTAAATTTAAAATAACGTGATTCTTGGTCAAAAAATAGTTACAATTAAAATGCGACACAATGATAGAATAATTTGTTATTCATCCTGCACATGTACGGAACAGGGCTATTGAAGTACCGGCTGGTACGAGGGACTTTTGCTAGCCGAGGTTTACTAGAATTCCGTGTTATGCGGTTAGACACATTTATTGCTGAAGGAGGGCAAATATCCTGTAATTGTTTACAACTTTTGAGCTGATAAGCAACTTTTTCACAAAGCTGCTCGCGATGAAACGCAAGTATTTGGATCTGAAGCTGAGATAGTACCTCATCGTACATGTCGTACCTATTCCAATTATTATAACCTATTATTATTTTCACTGCCCTTACTTGAACATATTCAATTAGACGTGAGAGCTCTTTGGTAAGGCCCGGGTGCCAGACGGGTGCAGCATATTCCAGAATCGGTCTGACGTAACCACAGTAAATTTGTACGAGATCTTCACAGCTAAGCCTAGATTTTTTTAGTATACGAAGCATGAACATTCTTTTACTGGCTTTAGCCACCAAATCTTGAACGTGTATGGCCCATTTAAGATCGTGCTGGAACCATACCCCCAGGATCTTCGAAGTTGTCTAATTTTCCAATTGAAAGTGCTCTAAAAAAAGTTCAGCATCTTGAAGTCTATTTCTACCAAAGTACACCTGCATAACTTTACATTTTGCAGGGTTAAGTTTCATTTTATTTGAAAAGGCCCAGCACTGGATAGATGCGAGTACGTTGTTTAGATATGACGGAGCGTGGATCGACCTTGTCTCCAGTAGTGTCATATTGTCGACGTATTTCCATTTCTGAACTAATAGTCCTTCAGCAGCATCATTGATCATGACCAAAATCAGTTGAGGGCCAAGCTTTGTGCACTGGGGAACACCACATGTTAACCCCTGGTACGTGGAGGTAGACCCTCTGTACCGGACGCATTGTTGCCTCATAGAGAGGAAATCCCTTATCCACGGTAGTAGTGACGGTCTGACTCCTAATTTATGGAGTTTTTTTAGCATTGTAGTGTGACATATCAGGTCAAATGCTTTGCTGAAGTCAGTCACGATTAGAGAGCGTATATTGTTGCGTTTTTCTGCTCCTCTGTACAGATAGTCCAATATGCTGATGAGGTAATGAACTGTTGAAGACTTGGGTATGGAGCCAAACTGGCGTAAATCAATTTTATGCTGGATGTCGTCCATGATCCACGTGTAGACAAAGTTCTCTGCTATTTTAGTGAAAGTGCAGGTTAGAGAGATTGGCCTTAGCTCATCAATGGAAGGAGGGTACACTTTTGGTATAGGGCATACGATTGCCTGTTTCCAAGCTGCTTACATCAGCCAGGGGTGTCGCTAACTCAGCAGGAAGGTTGTCAGGTTTTCCAGCTTTATTAATGTCTATCTTCAGTAAATGACGGTAGACTTGCCACTCCTGCACTGTTGGTGGTGGGAGTGCCGGAAGGAAACTTGGAAGACTATTGTAGTCGAGAGGAGGAAGAAGTCGCGTAACAGCAGAGAAAGAATCGTTTATCTTTTCAGCTATTGGTGATGTGTCACTTGGATCGATTCCAGGAACTTCGAGCGTTATTGTTGATTTGCTCATGTTCGCCATGTCTCGGATTTCTGTATGCCACTTACGCGGATTAGATTTTTTTAAGTGCTGAATTTTCTTTTTATAATAATACTGTTTAGCTTTGATGATTTCTTGGTGTACCTTGTTACGATAGAAACGCCACGAGTTACTCTTGTTACGGAAAGCACGTCTTTTATTGATAAATTCCTTTATTTTGGCAGAGAACCATTTTTTTGATGTGGCATGCTCGTGGATGATCTTGGTAGGAAAGTTCAGATCAATTTGTTTAGCCAGCTGTTCACTAAAAACGTCCAGTTTGAAAGTGACATCAGTAGTGGATAAGACATCATTCCAATCGCATGTGGTCATCCAACAGCCAAAAGTTCTCAGCCGAGAATCAAGAAGAGGTCTAACGATACGAGTCGATTTCCGTTTAGATTGCTTCAAACGATGTCTTTCAATAGGCTGCCACATAATGCATAGATGATCGCTGAGCCCAAGAGGTGCTAATGTAAACGGTTCCAAATATGTAGAGTGGATGTTGGTAATGATATTGTCAAGGATAGCATTACCACGTGTAGGAACTGTCACGACTGCCTTCAATTGATGGGCTTTACACAGAGGTTGTAAATCAAAATGGTTGAAATCTCCAGTAATTATCACTCCCGCATCTGGGTAGTCAATAAGTAGTGCGTCAGTCGATTCAGTTAGATGATTGTTCAAATTTTCATGATGCACGGAACCAGGGGGACTATATACACAGCACACTATTAAGCATGATGTCGTGCGAGGCAGCAATTTAGGACGACACCAAATCCAAATCCATTCCAATTCGTCACATTTATTTTCTTAAGACTTCGAGCTTGTAAGGTGTCGTGTACATAGATAGCGACACCGCCTCCTCTCTGTTGATTCCTGAATTTTGTAAACAGTGAGTATGATTGAATTTTCAACTCTTCATCTGGCAGCGCATGTGATTGCCAGGTTTCTGTTAAAGCAGTTACTCCAATGCTATACCTGTCTAGTCAGAGAGCCACTTCGTCGACCTTGTTAATAAGTGACTGACAGTTAGTCACTGCAAACGTTGGGAAGTATTTTTGCTGATCTGACTTGTCAATTGTTACTTGAACCATGTTCGAAGGTGACCTTCTGTATAATGACTTGTCAGTTGCACACCGGTGGGAGCAGAGGGTACTCGCGTTTTTACTGAGATTAGGGTTAGGTTCTCTCTGTATGTAGCTTAGGTTGTTTAGGTTTACTCTTCTTGATCGTACAGTGCTGACCTTGTTCGTTGAAACGTAGTTACTATTTGCACTAATGCCACGGTTACGAGAGTTATTGCTGGAAACACCATGCATGGCTTTGATAGACTTGCTGTTGGTGTTGAAGTACTCGTCACCTCTGATTGGTCGGAATCTGCACAGTGCCGGGAGACTACAGCAATGGCTACCTGGGCACTTAAATTCCAAGTTGTTTAACGATAAAAGTTTTTCTCTTGATAGCACCAAACGAGGCATTTTTAAGGCTTGATTGTACACTCCGGGCATTCTCTAGGTGTTTAAAAAAACTTTCTTGTGGTGTAAGGTAGGTTCACAATAATAATAACTACTAAAAGACACAAATATTACGCAGTCTAGAAAACACATGCTGCATGTTACACCACCTTTCACGTATATATATATATCAAGAGCTAATAAATACCTAGAGTGTACAATGGGAAAACTGGGAAATAGTGCTATTTCACGGCAATATTATTCGACTTTGTATGCGGTTCTAGATTAAGTTTATGGTATTGCGTTAAGCAGCATTCTTTTCTCTCTATAATAAGACCAACCGCTTGTCTTTACGATACTCCTAGGCCGAGATATTGGAGCGTAATCATGCCTCCCACAGGCCCTCACGCCGCCTCGCATCCACAATATTCACTATCCTTCTCGCCTTTTGCGGGTCTGGCTATCGTTTTCCGTCGCCGCTTGGAGCGCTGATAATTGATGTCACATGTCCAAATTTGGTACTCTTACTACACCATTATAGTACCTGAGCTGCGTTGTAGAGACTTAATTTAGAAAACATTGCCGGCTCCATCATGACGGGCATTAGCCGTGCTAGGAAAGATAATGGGAGATAAGGGCATTGGCCATGCCCCCGAAAGTCACCGATGATAACTGAAACGCCGTTCATTCATAAAGTTATCGTGGAAAAAAACGAACTCCTCGAAGCGACTTTCCTAACCCGCAAAAGGCGAGAAGGATAGTGAATATTGTGGATGCGAGGTGCTGTGAGGCCTGTGGGAGGGGAAGTTTACGAGCCAATATCTCAGCCTAGGAGTATCGTATTGACAAGCAGTTGGTCTTGTTTTAGAGAGAAAAGAATTCTGCTTAATGCAATACCATAAAATTATTCTAGACTCGCAGGCAAAGTAGAATAATATTGCTGTGAAATAGCACTATTTTCCCGTTTTTCCGTTGTACACTCTAGGTATTTATTAGCTCTTGATATATATGTGTGTGTGTGAGTGCATGCTTGCGTGAGTGCGTGCGTGCGTGCGTGCGTGCGTGCGTGCATGCGTGCGTGCGTATCTGTTACAGAGTTTTGTGTATATATTTCTGTGGGTTGCAGGACTGGAGAAGCTGTTGTCAGATGAAGTTTACTATGCTGGTTACCCACTCCACGAGGTGAGCATTAAGACGTTAGTTTAGAGAAACCTATCTTCTAGAATTATATGTCACAGAAAGAAACACTTCCCTGATTCAAAAACGAACAACTGAAACTCCTAAATTGGTGTAGGTGACTGGTGCTTAATATTCTTCCATGTTAGCACGAGTGTGAAGGGTGACTGTGTTCAGATGAGATGAAGTGCAATCCTGCAATGACATTGCACAGCTGCTCTCGTTATTTAGGGAGGCTTCCGCTGTGTAGACTCACCGAACACGAGGAAGATGTTCTATGAACAATGGGCTGCCTACAAGAAGGTGCACAAATACCAGCCAATTCACCACATCAGGTGAGAGGCTATGGTCCCATTAAATATGTGTGTCTGGGTTTGTGGCAGGCGTGGCAGTAGTGGGTGGATGGGTGTGCTCAAACAGAGTAGCCCCCGTTGGGGAGGCTCAGCCCTCATCATGGGAAAAATCAGTAACTTGTTGGAGAATAACTTATGAGAATAATATAGAGTCACTCTTCATCTGTAGTACTGTGCTAGCTGCATGAACCTATGTGAACAATCAGTAGGATGAAGGATCCGTACATCTGATATATTACAATATGTCGATAGTTACAGATATTAGCAATTACTTTCTGCTAAACATGCTAAAGGTGCCATTTTCTACCTTAAATTTGAAAAGAATTTGGATCCGTCTAGTTTTACACAATTTTCGGTCCTCTACTCAATGTGAGTTTAGCCACCCTCATGGTGGACTAGGATCTGTGTGGAGCAATCACTGGTACCAAATCTGACTTGTAGGTATCTGCAAGAAACGGTAATGCATGACATGTCCTTTCCTTTTGCATAGACGCTTAGTCTATCGAGCAGCTTGTGTGGTGGGATATATGAGAATATCAGTTTTACATGATGCGATGCGGCATTACTATGTGCGCTTACTCATCCTGGAACATGCTGGTGTTGGTTGCAGGAACTACTTTGGAGAGAAGATTGCGCTATATTTTGCGTGGGTTGGCTTCTACACTTTCATGCTTGTGCCTGCTGCCATAGTGGGTGTGATATGCTTCATCTACGGCCTGGTAACCATGGGCACAGACACACCGAGGTACAGTTTTAGTCTCCCATCACTGCATGATACTGACAATGAGAGTTTGTTTACTTGGGAACAGTTTAGTACTCATGCTTGTTTTATGTGTGATTAAACTAGAGAACACATACACAGTGTGAGCTATGTGTGCTGTGGGCTTTGCGTCAGTAGCATAATTAATGTTTTGTTGCCAGTCTGTTTACATAAAATTGCTTGCATAAATGTACGAGTCAACATGTTAGCGGATGAGTGACTCCATAACAGCATGAGCGATTGTGTGGTATGAGTGATGATGTGGCAACTATTACAGTGTAGTTGTGTTTTAATGTGAGTGACAGTGCAACAGAATGAGTTGGTGACTATCTAACAGCATTTGTCTCTATTCTATACTATTTCCCTGTAGCATTAATGATTGTTATATGGCTGCAGTATTTACTGCATTGCAATTGATGTAGAGCATATGTCACGTACCGTACTATTAAAGAAAAACCAATGTTGCCCACTGAATGATGCTGCCACCTAGCATAAACACTCACGTACGTGTCATTTGTTTAGTGAATAGCTTGGGCCATGATTGACAGAATGTTGTAGATCCCAGTATGTCTTCCTGGAATGTGATTATGTATGGGAAAAATGCCTATGGACGAGGATTCTTGATTGTTTAATGTAATGTCTGTGTTTATGTTTATTCTGTTATGGTTAATAAGTCATAGGAAGACTGAAGATAGTATGTGGAGTTAATTGTCTCCCTAGAATGCGGAAGACTCCTCTAGTATTATTTACTTAGTAAATATTACAAAGCAGTTATTGCCTGGTTGTTTGGGCAACTTAGAGTTTTGTAGATTGAGAAGATCAATGTTGTCAGAGACCGAACGTAGAGACTTACATTAATTTTTAAGGTTCAAAAAACTCCACGTTTCCCCCACAACCAGGCATTTATTAGGTGTTGTTTAACAGCTTCGCTTAGCAGTACCATTACTTGACCTAACAAGTGCATTGTTATCTTCAAATCAAGCATGACTCACCCATATTATGACTCACTCACAATATGAATCATCGAAATTACTCACCCGCAACATGACTGACCTGCAACATGACACATGCACAATATGAATCACCCACAACAGGGTCACCCATAATATGACTGATGCACAACATGACCTATCCTCAACATGACTTACCCTCAACATGACATGCCTTCAGCATGACCTACCTGCAACATGACCCAGCCACAACATGACCTACTCTCAACATGACCTACCCTCACTATGACCTATCCTCAACATAACTCCCCCATAATATCACTCACCCACAGCATGGCTGAATAGCAGCATGACTGATCCAACACATGACTGATGTGCAGCATGATCTAGCTACCCACAGCATGACTGGGCCACAGCATGAATGACCCACAGCACGAGTGGCCGATGGCATGAATGACCCACAGCACGAGTGCCCCGATGGCATGTTTGACTGACCCTCTGCATGGCTGACTGCAGTATCAAACACTGTAACTATATAGAGCTGAAGAGTGTGATATGCAGCTGGATGGTGGAGTAGGTAAGTGCTGTATGAGTCTCTGTGGACGGTTACAGGTTTGTGCATTCGTAGCTTTTCTTTTATTCCAGAAATCAGAACTGTTTATGGTAGCTCAACATGCTGCTTGAAGAGATCATTAACTGTATAATTGTTAACTCTTAGCTGTGTGAATACGATATATATTGATACATTTTCTGTTGGGGGTGTGTTGGCCACTTTAATATTATTTTCATGTCTACAGTAATAATCCGTAACACATTACTCTACTTTTGTCCTATCCCGTCTACCTTGAACATATGTCCCAGGCCACCATGCCATTCCACCTGTTCCTTGGTGGTGAGGTGCATTTTGGTAAAGTCAGTTCAAGCCTGTTTATCCTAACTTTTACTCCTGAATAACCCATTCTGTGTGAGCAAAGAGCAAGAACCATATGACTCCTGCCTTAACTAAAGCCACTGCTGACATCTGCATCTTTGGAATTCAGCATTCAGTCTTCTCATATAGTTACCTAGTCTGTCACGTATTGTAGCAAGGAGATCTGCAACGCGGATTACAACATCACCATGTGCCCACTGTGCAACCAGCTGTGTGATTACTGGAATCTGTATGAGACATGCAACCACGCGCGTGCCAGCCACATGTTTGACAATGGCGCCACGGTATTCTTCGCTGTCTTCATGGCTCTGTGGGGTGAGTTGCGACGGCTGTCATTCTCTTAAAAATGTACCATTGTGTGAGGAAGGGGAGTTGGGAATGCTAAAACTTCACTCTTGATGTTTGTGAGCTGCATTTGCATTGTACTCGAGTGTGCACATGCTCGAATGAGATGAGTGAGAAATTACCTCCTTTTCAGGCACGATATTCCTAGAGTTGTGGAAGCGATATATGGCCAAAATCACGTATGAGTGGGACCTCATTGAGTGGGAGCATCTTGAGGTAAGCACCTGTATCATCTTGATGAGTTGGTGACTGTAATTGTTCCAAGTTAAACTTGAAAAACGTAAATCCTCCAAGACAACGATTGGGTATTTTATTCATAGTTTGGTCCTCCCTTGTCTGTGTTTCACACGTAATTTCAGTTCGTATTTACCATTCAATGTGCTTTTGTGCAACCACTCATGCACACATTGCTGGCACCAGGCTATTATGAAAAACAAATGTCAAGAGATGTAAGCAACAGTTGGGCAATTATTGGAGATAATCACATAATTGTGATTAGAAGTGGTATAAACTGCTCTATGGAATCATTCGTGATTGGACATTGTAGGAAATAAGTGCTGGTTGTGCACGCATAAAGTATGACCTAGCTGTGCCAATATGCGTAATATGACTGATTCTCTCTTGTTCCACAGGAACATCCGCGGCCAGAGTTTGTCGCAAAGCTTGCAGCGTCCCGTCGGAAAAGATTGAACTTTGTCACGCAAATCCTTGAGCCATACATCCCCTTCTGGAGTGGCAAGGTCCCACGCTATGTCTTCTCGCTATCCATGGTTCTCTTTCTGGTATGCATGAGCATACACACTCACTCTTTTTTTTTTTAAATTAACAGATACTGTACGTTTTCCCTTTCCTTGCCATTATAGTACAAGAAAATAAACAAACAAGGAATGACATTCTCTCTTCTTCAATTTCCCCCTGCAACTTTGTGCAAGTTCTTAGTGATTCTTATCTGTTTAGATGCCCTAGCAGGTTGGAACCTGTATATGTTTAGGCTGGTCTAACAGATGTGTGAGGTTGTTGTTGGAAGTTGTAGGAGTTCACAAATTGTGAGGTGGCTAAATGCAATACGTGATGTGTGGCATTGCAGATAGCCTTGGCGATGGGTGCTGTCATCGGAGTTATTGTTTACCGGATCTCTGTGCTTGCTGCATTCGCCTTCAGTAAGGACTTCCTTCTACGAAAGAACGCCACTCTCATCACGGCAGTCTCTGCAGCAACCATTAATCTCATATGTATCATGCTGCTAAATATGGTAAGTTTTCTTTTATACCTGAACAAGGTAATTGTAAAATGATATAAGTCAACTATTAGATGCGAATGGGATAGTACTCATAACTGTTATTGTAACTGTAATTACTAATTATGGCTATAAACTGCCTAATGAAATATGTGAAGTAGCTATGTTGGGGTGTGTTCACATCAGATTCAGACCTGTGATTTTGATCTTGCATGATTTGTTCATAGTTGAACATGAATTTCTGCCCATGTAGGTCTATGGAAAGGTAGCACACTACCTCACACGGATGGGTGAGTTACTGATTTCATTTAATTTTACCCACATCTTTCACCTGAAGTATGGACGACTTTCTTAGGCGAGCTATTGTCAGTGTATTTCCACCTTTCACTTATTGATGTTGTACTGTGTTGTTTTTAAATCTAATGTTGTGTATTTAGATGTTGATATTTGTGTACGTGCGAATTCTGTTGTTAGTGCAGTTCGACTTTTGTTGATGCAGAGATGCTCAGGACACAGTCAGAATTTGATGACAGTCTAACATTAAAGTTAGTCCTGCTGCAGTTTGTCAACTACTTCTCATCAATCTTCTACATTGCCTTCATTAAGGGCAGGTAAATATATGTTATTTATATGTAAACATGATAAACCGTTTGAATGTAAGTGGAGATATTTAATAAATCTATACATTTAATTACTAGTAATCACTGGAAGAACACACATCACAAAATGTGAGATTCACCAGTGTGGTTTGATAACCTCAGTCGGATAACTATGCCGACTTGGATACTGTAGCTACTTCAGTCAAACTGACGTACTCGTTTAGACCGGCTACGTGTCAAAATGACAACTTACCAGTACATATTCACTAAGCATTGTTTTTAGAATGTCTTATCACAGTGCTGATTAGCTAGAAGTGACTGTCAATCACACCCAGAAAATTAGATCAACTGAGAGAAACTGCTCAGGCGAGTTCAGTTGTTGCGGCATCAGAACACTGGTTGCCATGCTGCTGTGTGCCTCACTGTGTGTGTTTTCCTTACAGGCTAGCTGGTTACCCGGGCGATCCTGCGAAGATCTTGAGCTTCAGGCAGGAGGAGTGTGAGCCGGGAGGCTGCCTCATTGAGCTGTGTATCCAGCTAGCTATCATCATGCTCGGCAAACAGTTCATCATGAACAACTCCATCGAGATCGCTCTGCCGTTAGTGTCTCTCATGTCGTGTGCCGTTGTTGTTGTTGTTGTTGTTGTTGTTGTTGTTGTTGTTGTTGTTATTGTCGATGTTTGTCTTCGTGTGATTGCTGTTACAGCTGTTACTGTTACTGGTAGCAGTGGTTCCATCTGCTAATACTGTCGTTTCGTTGTTTAATTGCATTCTGTTATGTAATATTGTTAATGTTGTAATTGTTGCTAGTCACATCTAACGATACATCTGTTTTGTTGCTATTTCTCATTGTCATCTAGTTAAAAAAAAAAAAATATTTATCCTTTTGTTTGTTGTAGTTGTTTGCCGGGTGGCTGCTGTAAATAATTGTAGTGCTCATATGTATTATCAAAGATTATTTGCGAATATGATTCAATCCAGTGAAGAAAACACGTGCCAAATATACACAAGTCATGCATGTGGGGGCGTCGCCTTGTGTTTTACCTGTCTGACCTGTGGTGCCCTCTGTTTTTTCAGACGCATCATGCGTTTTGTGAGACGCATCATGTTCAAGGGAGATGTTGATGATGAGGCACGACAGAAGCAGTGGGTGCGAGATTTCAGACTCATTGACATGGGCCCCAATGGACTCTTCCCAGAATACCTTGAGCTGTGTGAGTCAGACTTGCTAAGGAAACGTTGTTGCATTTATTGTGGCTTGGATTCTAACTTGCTGAGAAATATAGCCCTGGTGAAGGATGGTACAGATTTAAAGGGGAAACTGATTTCCAGTCTGTCATAATATATCAGTGTTGGATGCATATAGAATTGACCATTTACTTCAATATTCAATAACTAGAAGGCCCATTTAAAGAATTTCTCTAAAAATTGAATTTGGTCTCATTATTTATATTCGTCTCTTCTGTAAAATGATTTTTATTTAATCTACTTCACCTGTGTGCACGTGCCTTTACATTTTTTCTAATCCATCAACAGTGCTACAGTTTGGGTTTCTCACGGTGTTTGTGGCGGCTTTCCCACTGGCACCACTGTTTGCACTCATCAACAACATCCTGGAGGTTCGCATCGATGCTGACAAGATGGTCACTCAGTACCGTCGCCCAATAGCTACCCGTGCCAAGGACATAGGTGTGTGCCCGCGTGCGTGCCTGTGTGTGTGCATGTGCCTGTGTGCATGTGTTCTTGCATGTGTGCGTGTGTGAGTGGGTACATGAGTGTGAACGTGCGTGTGTGTGTGCGTGTATGGGTCTGTGCATGTGCTTGTGTGTGTGTGTCCATGGGTCCAGTGGTTGCGTGAGTGTGTGTGCTTGTGCGAGTGGTAGCATGAGCATGTGTGTGAGTGTGTGCGCATGTGTGCGTGGTGGCATGAGCGTGTGTGTGTGTGTGTGCGTGTGTGTGTGTGTGTGTGTGTGTGTGTGCATGTGTGCATGTGTGCGTGCGCATGGGTCTGTATGTGCTTGTGTGTGTGTGCATGTGTGAGTGGTAGTGTGAGCGTGTGTGTGCATGTGTTAGTGGTAGCGTGAGCATGTGTGTGAGTGTGTGCACATGTGTAGATGTGTGCATGTATGTGTGTGATCTGTGAAGAAAGTAGTCCCTGCCACAAGCCATTGCGTAGCCAGAGATGAGGGTGATCATGAGAGAGGAGGGTAGAGAGAGGAGAGAGAAAGAGAGAGAGGAAGCCGTAGTTGTTTCACAGTCACTATTATTACTGTCGCAATCTTTATTTAGGCCATTCCACAGTGTGGATACATTCCTAAACAAATGATTCAGTTGTCGTGTACATGGGATTTAGACAGTGCCAGGATGATGTTGTGACTAACAACCCTGCTTGTTTCAGGAGTCTGGTTTAATCTCCTAGATGCAGTGGCAAAGCTGGCTCTCATCTGCAATGTGAGTATCCATCGATAACGTTTTGATATGTGGAAAATATTTTACGAAATGTGCAGCCAGCCTTCACAAGTGCTAACTAGTTGCATCGTTGTTTCAAGCCATTTACATTAACTTTATGCTGTATTATCTATTATTATTTTTTATTTATTTAACTTTATTATTTTGCTGCTTACTGCGTTATTCATTTTTATTAATAGCACTATTCTCAAAATGGGAATTTGCATCGAAAATGCAAGTACTAGTAAATGAATCTTGAATAAAACTATACAAATAGTTAACGTTTACTAGCATTCATCCTTTATCACCAACATTTATAGATATTTTATGGTTGTAATCGGCCATTAGAACAAAACTACAGATCAGAGGAGCACGTGTGTGATATATACTTATGCTGTGATACACATTATTCCCATGACCACCAAATTGTGCTATCTTAATGCTGCTGTGCACTGAGGTACAGAGAGAATCACATGTGCATGTTTCTTGCAGGCCTTCGTGATAGCGTTTACGTCAGACTTCATCCCACGCCTCGTCTACACGATCACGCAGTCTCCTGACGGCGGCCTTACTGGCTACGTCGTCTACAGCTTGTCAGAATTCGACACAGCCGACTTTGCCAACAGCTCGGCACCAGACAATCCATTGTCCCTCGGCTACCCTGTCTCCATCTGCAGGTTAGATATAGAAATTTCTGGCATCGGTCTATTCTTATCTCATTGGCATTGAATTCATGTTGGTGAATTAGAATACGTGCCCCCTGAGCCCCAAAATTATGTACATGCTTTTCTTTTTGCAATTACCTCTTCTATATCATTTTGCATTTTGGCCTAGCAATTATATTTTCATCCCTCTGCCTAAATTTTGCTAACCCAATTCTCTTTCTCTTCATACTCACTCTTCCTTCTCTTTCTCTCTCTCGCCCTCTCCCTCTTCCCCCCCTCTCCTCTCTCTCTCTCTTTCTCTCCATACTCACTCTTCCTTTTTTCTCTCTTCCACTCTCTCTCTCTCTCTCTCTCACTGCCTGTGTATGTGCTCCCTTTATTGCTTTCGTACGTTTTTATATTGTTTATCTGCTTGCTATGCAGGTATAAGGATTACAGGTACCCACCAACGTCGGATAAGCCCTACAGACACACCGAGCACCACTGGCACGTGTTCGCAGCCAGACTTGCATTTGTCGTCGTGTTTGAGGTAAGGTGTTCACGAGTCTGTGGCTAAACTTTCATATCTGTGGTGGTTGTGAATAGTGTAGAGGCCCGTTGTCAGAACCATAAATAGTCGTATTCCTAGGACAGGATGTGGTGTGTAAAACCACATGTGATATAGTGATATCTCACTTTTGTGATAGTCATGACTATTTATGATGTTTCTGACAGCAGGCTCCCAGACAATATTCTGTGCTGTTCATTGACATCCTTTCCACATCGTTGTTGTGTGACGCCGTCACGCTGTAGTGGACCGTTGGTTATTCCAAGATGTTGCAGTGACTGCAGCGTTGCTGAACCGATCGTATTCTGTGCTGTATTTCAGAACGTGGTCGTCGCGGTAACGATCCTCATCCGCTGGCTCATCCCCGACATTCCACAGGATGTGCTGGAGAAAATGCGACGTGAGAAGTACATTCGCAACCACGTGAGTGCTGCGCTCGTGCGATACTAGAATGTTGCTGTCACCCGTCGCTAGATGGCAGCAGTTGTGCTGTACGTGTCTGTGAAAACCTGAGCCATCAGTGTGGGTGAATTGATTCTTTGAATTAATCTCACAACACTGCTAAACACATGATGTTAATATACGGCAGATCTTCGTGATGTTTTGGTGACATTGAGTTAATTTTCTTGGTCTTCTTTGGCATAATGCCAATGGGAAAACATCAATGTGCTGTCGTGACAAGATCACATTGGTTTAAAAAGCTGCTATACAGGTGGGTTTTGACTTAAGACTTATCGATCAGCCATAAGCAATAGCAGGGCCGTAGTGGCCTCCCAAAAAGTGCCACTGCAGTAATGTGTAGCCGATGCAGGGGGTCTGGTGGTATTCCCCCAGAAAAATTTTCATGGCATTTCCTGCATTTTCAAGCTATGTTGAAAGCAACCAATTCTGATCATTTTAAAAGGTCAATTTGTAAATTTCAAAGAGGATTGTAGCTAAAGCTGATGTTTTGACTAAAGTATCTAAAATATATATTATGAGTATGATAACTAATAAAACATTATTTACAAAATTGTATATACTATCAGTACATAATTATGAAAAATAAGCCTATTTTCAATCTGCATTTATACTTTCACTATGTACATCTGTATGTTTTGAAGTTTGAATTTGAATAGGCACATTGTCATATTAAATACACATTCCAAATCTTAGAGCACTGATATAACACCTCTAATTGATCAGTATTAATAGTAATACCAGACAGTCCAGTCAGATAACTTGTCATTTTGTTTTTTTATTATTCCAATTTTATCTTTTCTGCCTGGATGGCAACTTACAAATTCTGAAATTACATTTTGTTCATCTACCTTGTCTAACATGTCTCGGTGCACATGCATGACCATTGCATTGTTGAGCCTTAACTGGGTCGTGCTGGGTCGGGGGGGGGGCACTCCATATATATTGCATGGTAGGTATGTGCCGCGGGAGAGACCCCCATTTTCAACCCTAACCCTAAACTTCCGTTCCAGTGCATCGCATTTTTAAGAATATCTCATTCCAGAGCATTAAGTTTAGTTATCATGCAGATCTTACATTTTTGCCGTTCCGGAGACCCTAGTTTTTAATATTTCCGTTCCAGTGCATCGTACTTCAGAATACGTTGAAGCCGGGCCGTCAAGGCATGCATGCAACGTGTGTGTGTTGTATGTGTGCGTGCGTGCGTGTGTTGTCTGTGTGTGTGTGTGTGTGTGCGTGTGTGCGTGTGCGTGTGCGTGTGCGTGCGCGTGCGTGCGTTAATCTCTCTCCAGGTCATGTTTTTTCTCCTCTACATAATACAACAATTATTGGTTCAAGTGCTACAGCATAGATTTAAAGCAAATCACTGTTCCCCCCACAGTTCCGGAGACACCCTCTTTTAAACGTGTCCAGTGTCATAGCATTGAATTTCAACGAAATCCTAGTTCCGGAGACCTCCATTTAACAAACATTAGTTCCAGAGACCCCCATTTTCAGGTCTAAGTTAGTTTCAGAGCCCCCCCATTTTTGACTTTGCAGTGGCACATACTTACGATAATGTGGGGTGAGTGCCCCCCCCCCGGGGTTTCATCTCCTTGGTATATGTTGCTCCTTGGTTCCCTGCAGAATTTTTTTTCTCCAAAATAGTGCCACGGCAGTGCCGTGCTGCCGTGGTGGCCACTACGGCCCTGCAGCAATAGGCTAACCCTTGAAGGGCATCTGAACATTTATTTGCAGCATTACCGTATGTATTCTATTGGCTTACCTTCGCATGAAATGTTGATGTTTATTGTATCTATGTGGAGTGTAGACCTCAAATGACATGGAAGAATTAAACGTGAAGCCCAAATATTATATTTCCCATATTTAGATGAACTTAGAAGGCTAAGGCTGTAACGTTTCGTGTTAAAACGATAAATAATGATAGTAATATTGAACATAAATGGTAGAAGAGGAGAAAGGTCTGCTATTACAGATGTGCATACTCGTATGGCTAGTGCAAAGCATTATAAATGTGCGCTTAGTTGAGGCCTGGACGTTTATAACCCAAGTTTACTTCAATGGCTGGTAATTATTGCTTCTAGGACAGATCATGCATTTAGCATTGCTGTATACATGCTATGTGCGTTGTCTCTTTTGTGATGCATACATGCACACACACACACACACACACAC